GATAGGGGGATAGAGATTGCTTTAATTTGGATTCCTGCTCACAGTGAAATTATAGGTAATGAGTGTGCACACTCATTAGCAAAATTTGCAGCTAGCTATGGTGGAGATAGAAAGTACTATCAAATAGATTGTAGCGATATTACAGCCTACCCTATAAAAGACCTCCGTGATGCTTGGACAAATAGTTGGAAAGATTCCTCAAAAATTACTGGTCGATTTTACTATTTTATTCAACCAAACATACCTGTAAAGCCTTGGTTCGCCAAATATAGAAAATTGCCGAAAAATATTGTTTCTGTATTATGTAGGTTGCGCATAGGGCATTGTTGCTCACCAGTATTTTTACATAAACTTAGAATCAGAGATAACTCCCTTTGTGAATGTGGACATGAGGAGGGAGATTTAAACCATATTTTCTTCTCTTGCCCACTAAACCGCTCCAATTTAGTGTATCCACAGCTTATTAAAGAAAAAAATCCCCTGCCAGTTAACTTAGCGAATATTTTAAAATTTTCATTGTGAAACTAGCTGGCGCTAGCGGCGCACTCGTCCCCACTAATACTACTTTACCTATTTTAGAACGCCATCTTATAATGCAGATTCTTTTTGTTGAGCATTTATTCCGAAACCGTTGAAGTGAAAGGTTAACAGTAGATTCCAAAGTTTGTTACATTATATTCGAAGATTGGTATTTAGATATAAATTTAGATTCAACGTATCCTATAATTGTTTAAATGAATTTGATTAAAGAAACTAGATAATTAAATATAATGATTATACCTACATTTATTAATATTTACATTAGAAAGTTTTAGAATTAAAATCAAAACGTGAATAAATAACTCTATGTATGTCTGTAATGTGTTTTACTCTTTGTTATCAGAAGTGGTATATATTCACGCTTGTTGGTCATCATGGGACGAAAACACAAATGCACCCGGGCACCGTCTACGAGTTCGAGCACGTCAGTAACGATCGAATCTGATTCTTCAAGCACTGGCCGTAAAAGAAACCGTCGCAAACGAAGTAGAAGGCATCGCCGCAAGAGGTCACCAACCGCGAGTCAAAATGCTGTATTGTCTTCAGTAATCCTGAATTTGACCCACTAGTGGGTCAAATTCAGTGGATTAAAGTGGTTGAGGCTAATGCTCGTGCTTTTGGGTGGGCGAATAGTATGATCAAATTCCAAGCATTGCAAAAATTAAGAAATACTGCTAAAACATGTGTATGGTATAAAATATGGTAGGTCACGGTGATGGCAAAAACGAAGACTTTTAAGACAATTGGATTTATTTTCGACACATAAATTTTATAATGTTAATTAGAGATAAGACGTGCGGTGTCGATCGCATCTAGGTGCAGACTGCGTGGCGTCCGTTACGCCGGTTATAAGTTTTTTTGAAAACGACTACGACACCGCACGCAGAGACAATAACATAGACAAACATCATTTTAATTATTTTGTTTTTTAAGGCACAGAACGCGTCGCTTACACACCCCACCCCAGTGTTGAGCCTGGCTCAGCACTCATTATCCATCGAAATACGAACGACACGCGTCACCGGCCGTTTCAAAATGCCCGTCTTAGTTTTCAATTCTACGACCCTAACTCGACCATCCCTTCCTGGAAACACCTGCTGAACCACAGCTTTCAGCCAGAGATTACGAGGTGCATCAGGATCGACAATAAGTACAAAATCACCTACCTGTATCGGTGTCTGGTCGTACTGCCATTTACGCCTAGGTATTAGGTCAGGAAGCACTTCTCTGACCCACCGCTTCCAAAACATGTCAGCGAGCCTCTGCGCCTTACGCCACAGTTTACGTAGGTACAAATCAGAGTCATTAAATACACCAACAGTTGGCAAATTTGATGACGAACCCAACATAAAATGATTAGGAGTTAGAGACTCACTACTACCTACTTCTACCGATACATGTGACAAGGGTCGACTGTTGACAATATTCTCAACTTCCGTCAGGAGCGTATTGAGTACTTCTTCACGTGGTGCACGTTCTTTTAAAATTACCCTAAGTGAAGTCTTGACACTCCTAATAAGTCGCTCCCATGCCCCACCCCAGTGGGGACTGGCAGGCGGGATGAAGGTCCATTCCACTCCATTATTAGCTGCTTCATTTGTTAGCCTATCAAAATCTACCTCATTTATAGACTTCTTCAGCTCAGCATCAGCGCCTCTCAAGTTTGTACCATTATCAGAGTACAGCATACGAGGCCAACCCCGTCTTGCTGCCATTCGACGAAGAGCCATAATGAGGGAGTCAGAGGTAAGTGATGACACCAGTTCTAAGTGGATTCCACGGACGGTCAAACAAGTAAATAAAACTCCATACCTTTTCTCTCTATGTCTCCCCACAGTGACCTCCATGGGTCCAAACAAATCCAGACCACAGTGTGTGAAAGGACGCTCATGATGAGCCAGTCGTGCTTCAGGCAGCTCTCCCATTCTCGGTACCTGTGGTTTTGCTCTTTTTATTCTACAAAACATACATTTATATGCTACATGTTTTACGGTTGGACGTATTCTAATAATCCAATATTTCTGTTTCAGGTTGTTTACAACGGTTTCCTGGTTCCCGTGGGCTGTCTTCACATGGTTGTATCTAACAATTAATTGAGATACCTGACTACGCCCGTCCAAGATGATAGGTCTCTTCATTTCAGGTTCAACATCCGGTGCAGCATCTATGCGGCCGCCGACACGGAGAATCCCGTACTCATCCAGAAATGGAGATAACGTAAGTAACTTACTACCCTTTGACAAACAGTTACCATTTTTAATTGCAGCTATTTCATCACCGAATGACTGTTCTTGTGTATATTTTAGCAGCAATCGCTCAGCCCTCTTCATGACTGTGCAAACAGTCTCATCCTGCTTTCTACACTTGTATATAAATTTTAGAATACATGCCGTAGCCCTCACCAGTCGTAACCAGCATGAAAATCTTCCTGGGTCAGGTACAGGTAAGTTACAATCTTCATGTTGTATTATCATTACTCGTTCTAAACTCATTTCATTTATCTTATCGATTATATTCACCGGCCACGATGACTCATCGCTGTATAAGAATGACGGACCTCTAAACCATTCATTTTTAAAAAGAGAATTGTCGTAATTTTCTCTCGTAGCGAGATCAGCAACATTTAATTTTGTAGGTACATACCGCCACTCCTCAGGGCGGCTTAGCTCGTCTATTTCACCCAGCCGGTTTGCTATGTACGTTTTATAGCTACGTGTATTATTACATATCCAGTGTAGCACGGTACTAGAGTCGCACCAAAAATAATGCCTTACTGGATTTATTTTGTGTTCTCTGATTATTGTATCTGCCAACCTCGCAGCCAATAAAGCAGCTTGCAATTCCAAACGCGGCACGGTAGTATGACTCACGGGCGCGACACGACACTTGCTAGCTATGAATGACATACATATATCTTTATTTACGTACCATCGCCAGTATGCGACTGCGCACATTGCTTTAGTCGACGCATCGCAACACAAGTGTAACTCTAAATTACTATATTCACTTCCAGCCAAAACCTGTTTCGTAGCGCCTGTCACTACGTCATTGCAGCGGGATGTCGTAGCGCAGCTATTAGCTACGCCAGTTTCGTAGCCGATAGCCCGTTCGGTTACGCTTGTAGATGTACGAGAGGTGAGAGAGGTTATGTTTACCTGAACTGAAGTGCTACGTTTTATCGCTGACTCACTCCCACTCGTCGCTGCTTGATACCACCTCGGCAGACGTATATTTTTTATTTCACTCGTTAGTACATTGACCCACTGACACCATTTTTTATGTATGTCATCTGTTACTAAGTCGTCCCAGCTGATTCCAGCGCGCCAGGTATCTTGCAACATTATTTTACCTTGTATAGTAAATGGCGATAAGAATCCAAATACATCGAATATTGACATTATGACTCTGAGCATAACTCTTTTTGTTGGTCTATTCTTACCATTAATTATGTCATGTGGTATGCGCTTGAGAGACACATCGAACCCCAACTCGTCTTCGCGCGGGTACCATATCAATCCGAGCGTACGTTCACCTTCGCATTCTTGATCTATTTTGAACTTTACGGCCGTAGTACCTAAGGACTCCTTTGGAATACTATCCAATACGGCTGGACTGTTGCTAGTCCAATTACAAATATGAAAACCACCTGATTTGTGAATTTTACTAATATTACGTACCATTGTTATGGCGGCGGCCTCGTCTGGCAAACTGTCTATGTAGTCATCCATATAATGTTGATTACATATCGCTGCTACGGCGTTTGGCATCGATGACTCATACCTTAGTGCGTTTTTATTCTTAATAAATTGAGCTATGAACGGTGAACATTTCGCGCCAAATATTAATGACGTCATCACGTACGTTTTTTCATGTTCTGCAGGACTGCTTCTCCACAGAAATCTGAGTGCGTTCTGGTCTTCTTCTCTTACCTTTATCCTTAAAAACATATCTTTTATATCGCCGGTCACCGCTACTCTGTTCTCCCTAAATCTTACCATAATGCCGAACAGAGATGTAAGTAGGTCCGGCCCCTTCAGTAGATAGTCATTTAATGACAAACCATTTGTGCTAGCTGCGGCATCGAAGACCAGACGTAGTTTTTTTTTATTTGGGTTGTCTACCCCAAAATGTGGTAAGTACCATGTCCGTGGCGAGACACTGCAGTCTTCCAACTCTCTGGCATAATCATTTTGTAATAAATGATTAACACGTTCGACATACCTGTTACCATATTCCGTATTTAACATAATTTTCTTTTCTATACCTTTTAATCTGCGTACAGCGTTAGGGAAGCTATTTGGCATCCTGCAGCTTTCATCTTTCCATGGTAGCCCAACCTCCCACCTGCCGTTGATGAGTGTAGCAGCTTGCTCCATCACTGTCAGGGCACGGATATCATCAGCATTCTCCCGTGGCTTACCTGACACTCCCATGGACTCGATGGTGAATGACCGTCACACCTAGTCATGGATGTCTCGTAACATGCGCTCGCTCTCGTCGACTGGTAAGCTGTGTAACTCAGAGATAAGGAGGGTCGAGTGGGACGATTGTTTATGTTCCGGTATACCTAAACAACCATGTATACACCAACCTAAGGGAGTGCGTGTAGCGACGGGTTCATTCTTATTACCTAAACTAGTTTGCAAAGGAATTAACAAATGATAATTATCCTGCCCTAATAGTATTTCAGGTTTCAATTTTTTTACACACAATTCATTTTTAATTTTACGCAAATTTTTATACAAGTTGTAATTAACAGTAGATAAATCTTGTATAGGCAAATCTAAATTATTTATGGTACGAGCTTTTACAGTATACACATCATTATTATCATATGAATTTACAGAGAAAATATCAAAGGTTACAACAGTAGTGTTACATAAATTTACAGAATTATTCCATGCACCACACATACGTAATGTGTCGCTGGGGCCGCTCAGTCCCGCGCGGTTAGCGAGATCGGTAGCTATGAGCGACACAGTTGAACCGTCATCAAGTAAGGCGGTGGTATTAATAACACCGTATGGTCCACGAATTTTTACCGGCACTACTTTTAATAACACTTGTTGATTATTTACGTTAATATGGGTCACAGTTTCACTCACGGGTGGACATTCGTTCACTTGTTCGGCGGTGACGTTGCTAGTCCTGCACCCGGTGGGTACGGGGTAGTGCAGAAGCCGGTGGTGCGCTCCGCCGCAGCCATCTTTATCGCAGGCGGGCGCCGGACATGTTTCGCGCTCATGACTTGACAATAAACACTTGTAACAAAGATTGTTACGCTTAATGTATCGCCATCTATCTTTTCTTAGCGCTTTTTTAAACTGCGTACATTTTGTTAAATCGTGTCTTGAAACACGACAGTATTGACACTTATCATTCAGTACTAAAACAGAATGTGATCTGCTACTTATATTATTATCATAATTTTTATATTTATCGCTGCGTGCATTTATTAAGCATAAGTTAGATGTTGTGGAAATCTTTACTGCTTCTTGAGTTAGAAATTCGGATAATAATTCTAATCCAGATTTCTTTCTTTCTAGTAACAGTGTGTAACTATAATCTGACCACTTAGATACAAGAACAGCTGGCATCTTAGATAATAATAATGTAAATGCATCTATACCTTGTAAATATTCCTGGCGGCCGACGGCTCGTGTTGCTTCCACGAAATTCTGCACTTTCACAGCAAAGTACACTATGTCCTTTTGATATTCTTGTGACACTGGATGTAACTTTTTTAATTCTTGTATCAAGCGTGATATAATTATATCTGGATTACCGAACCTTAGTTCCAGTGTCGCCATTAATTTATCAGGAGTTACGGCGCTGATGAGTAAAGCTGATACCGCTTCCTTTGCGGCTCCACGTAGACATTTCCGTAAACGCCATAAATTTTCCTTCGGATTGAAGTTGCAGACTTCAGTCGATTCTTCATAGGCCTGTTTAAATTGCAGCCATTCCATGGGGTCCCCTGAGTAGTATGGCAAATCCTTCGGCGTGCTCAATCGAGACACTAGTTTAGCATTCGAGTTGCTATTCGCAGAGGCGGCGGCCATGTTCTTTAGAGCGCTTGCTAGCATCTGAACTGTAGTACCATTAGTGCCAGAATCTATTGCTGGCGGACACGTGTCACCCTGTTGAAGACCATGATCGTGGGCAAACTGTGTGTTTTCCAATTCTTGCTGGCTGTGCTCGACCCACCTCTCCACATTACTATTAATGTTGGTGCGATTATCCTCTAGGTCTGGACTGTATTCTGCTTCTAAATCAGCTAGGTCTGCTTCCAATTGTTTGTCAATTAATTCCATTTGAATTTTAGCTTTCTTCTGTGCAGCAACGAGTTCTAACTGCTTTTTACGTGCCAGTACAGATGAATACGAAGACTTCGTGGACTTTGCACGCTTCGTTGTAACGGGCGTCGACGGTTGGCATTCTTCTTTACAAGTACCCGCTTTTGAATTTGTGCTCATAACGGTCACCGTCTTCTCTTCTGTAGGCTTCATATTACTCGGCCGTGGCGTATCTTGATACTGTTCAGAACCAGGATGCTGCTCCGTCTGCATGCAGTCCTTATTGCGTACTTTATATTTGCGTATAGTACTTCGGGTGCCTACCATTTTGTGCGCTGGTGGTGTGCGGTACATAAATCCGGCCGAATGACCAAATGTATGGTATAAAATATGGTAGGTCACGGTGATGGCAAAAACGAAGACTTTTAAGACAATTGGATTTATTTTCGACACATAAATTTTATAATGTTAATTAGAGATAAGACGTGCGGTGTCGATCGCATCTAGGTGCAGACTGCGTGGCGTCCGTTGCGCCGGTTATAAGTTTTTTTTGAAAACGACTACGACACCGCACGCAGAGACAATAACATAGACAAACATCATTTTAATTATTTTGTTTTTTAAGGCACAGAACGCGTCGCTTACACAACAATCGTTAGATTCCCTGCAAAAAAATGAAACCTCATGGACTACTTGGCGTTGGAAAAATTGGCGTGATAGATTATCAGATACTTTTCAAACCAAGCGGAATATGTATGCGTTACTGAAAGATCTGATCGAAACTAAACCATTACCTAATCAATCTTTATACGAATTTTATTTCACTCAAAAAGGGAAAATAGATAGGTTACAGTTAGAGTTTGGAGATCGAGACATTATATCAATTATAGTAGGATCAATAGGAGATCCCAATATTAATACAGCGGCAGACGCAGGTAGCTTTCGTTATTGTGATGACCTAGCCTCATTTTTACACGGTAAAATTTATACAGTATCTCTTGGCCCTGACAAGAATATGCCAGAAAAATCGGTTACAAAACCTGCAAATAGACACACATCCAATGCAGTATCCAGTGTAGATAACAAATCAGATTCTATAAAACCTCAACGTCCTACTAGTAGCTTGACCGATTTTAATAACTGGTCTTGTTATCGTTGTGGTGAAGTAGGCCATAAACGAACTAAATGTACCCTTAAAGATAATGTTTCCTGCACTTCATGTGGAAAGTTTGGACATTTAGAAAAAGCTTGTAAAACTAAAGTAAAACCCAAGTTAGAAACTGAAGTAAAAATGATAAATGAAAGTGAAAAGAAACAAAAATTTTATAAAAAAGTCTTAGTTAATAATTAGGAATGTGAGGCTTTCTTTGATATGGGTAGTGATTGCTCTTTGATTACCAGTGCTTTAGTTGAACAATATAAATTGAAAACCTTTTCCTTAAATTCTCCGATTAACCTAGTTGGGTTCACTACCAACACATCAACTCAAGTTTCTAAAGCGGTGGCTGTCACACTAAAGGTTGATAATGTTGAACTAGTAATAGTAATGTATGTGATAGAGTCGCTTAGGGGATGCAATATGTTAATAGGTCGTAACTTTACGGAAGATAGTTCTATCATGTATACTCGTATAGGAAGTTCATTGACTTTCAAATCAGCGGAAACTTTAAATATATTTAACGTCAACTCGAGTACAAAAAGGAAAGTACCTTACGAATATGAGAACATTTTGAATTCAATAATTTCAAAATACCCACGTTGCGTTTCGGATGATTTGTCCACTTTGGGAAAAATTGAACGTTGAATTGGAAATAGTGCTCACTTCTTCAAAACCTGTTTTTTACAGGCCATATAGAATGGCTGAAGCTGAAAAGAGAATCACGCGAGAAATTACAGATGACTTACTTAAAAATGGGATAATTAGACCTAGTAACTCCGCATACGCAAGCCCCGCTTTATTAGTGGACAAATCATCTGGAGCAAAACGACTATGTATTGATTGTCGTCAATTTAATAAAATTACTATTAAAGAAAAATACCCTATGCCTATGATTGAGGACTTAATTGACAGACTAGGTGACTGTAAATTCTTCACATCTTTAGATTTAAAGAGTGGATACCACTAGATTCCTATTAAACCGGACTCCATTCACAAAACTGCATTCATTACACCGGATGGACACTTTGAATTTTTAAGAATGCCATTCGGGTTAAGTAATGGTCCAGCTATTTTCCAGAGATTAATGAATACAATTTTGGGGAATTTACGTTTTGGAAAAGTAATTTGTTACATGGACGATTTACTCGTCGCAACTGAGACTTTAGAAGAGAATATAACGTGTTTAGAAAAAGTACTTGAAATTCTACAAAATAATGGGTTAACAATTAACATTGAAAAATGGTCTTTCTTTCAAAATAGTATTACATTCCTAGGATATGATATTTCTGAAGATAAGATTTGTCCGAGTTCAAAAAAATTAAAGGCAATTGAAAAATTCCCTACACTTAAGACCGTACATCAATTACGCCAATTCTTGCGATTAATAAACTATTTCAGAAAGTTTAATTTAAATTTAATTTGGAAACTATAACAGTAACATTTGTATGTTGAGTAATAATAAATTAAAAAAATATTTAAAACTAAAAAAGTTTATAATTAAGAATCGGAATATATTAAATAAGCGTTGCAAAAAGGGACAGTTATTGAAAAAAAACACTTTAAATAATTTAAAATTGCATGATTACATTAATATATGTAATAATAAGTTAGTGGAAAGCCAAAAGTTATATGACATTGATACAGACTACCTAACTTCAAAAATCAATATTTTAGAATCTTCGCTTCATGATTTAAATACAAAGTATATTATCTCTCAGAAACAAATCCAGGAGCATATTTTAGCAATGGATGATCTGATTGATGTCAGTAAATACAATGCTGACCGTTTTGAGTCGTTGACTAAGCATTGTACATGTAATCACACAAATATATCAAATAATAATTCAGTTGTAACTGTTCTTGAAAATGAAGTTCAGGGTGTTTGTGCCAGTGACTGTAACCCTAAGAGTAGCACAATGGTGTTCTCTGACAGAAAAGCCTGTAACTTTGGGTCTATTTTGAAGTATCATCTTAAGGGTGATTTATTAAACTACTGTATGCCAGAAGCATCATTTACACAAATAATAAATAAAATGAAGTCTACGAAAATGAACAATATGACCACAATTGTGTTATTTTTTGGTAATAGTATTCAATTAAATAGGCAGGATATAATTAAAGGAATTGAATATTTATTACAATTAAATGTGTATAGGATTGTATTGTGCGCTTTTCCTTACACAAAAGGACATCTTCATAAAGAAATTAACAGTAAGGTACATTACCTGAACAACTTATTACATACATTGACATGTCGTCATAGTGACATTTTTACATTTTTTGATACTAATAGTTTTATTAGTGATTTTTATTTGACAAAAGATACAATGTATCTCTCTAAATTATCTAAAAATAAAATAGCCACTTTAGTGGCTTATAATATTGACTACATGAACAGTTTACATGGTAAACTTAAACAGAAAAATACTGACATAACAAATAATTCTATTAATATTTGTGACATAAATACTATGACTGCAGATTTAAACTGCTCACAAAGACAAAGGGAAAGCAATCAGAATTAATAATTGTTCATCAGAACATACAAAGTTTTCCCGGCAGTGAGTTAATTATACAATTATTTTTAGAAAAGTATAATATTGATATTGTCTGTTTCACAGAACATTGGCTTAAAGAGAGCAATATGATGTTCAATTTAAATAATTATAACGTTGTCAGCTGCTTCAATAGAAAGTCAGTTAACAGAGGCGGGTCTATGATAATTGCAAGAAATAATATTAAAGTAAAGGAACGTGCTGACATTGTTAGACTTTCTATTGAGTGTTGTATAGAATTATCTTGTATAGAACTAGAAAATTATATCCTTATATGTGTGTACAGGCCTCCTAATAGTGATTACAATGTATTTGAAGGGGTGATGGAGGATATATTAAAAAAAATATTTAATAGTATTAAAAAAATTATTGTATGTGGAGATTTTAACGTTGATATTCTTTGTAACACACCCACATGTACAAAAATTATTAGTTTATTTCAATCATTTGATTTAAGTCATGTCTTTCATGAACCCACTCGTGTAACTGCCACGTCTGCTACTTGTCTTGACAATGTTTTTTGTAACTGTGAGTATACAGAAAAATTCATAATAAATAAACTTCCTTCAGATCACTGTGGTCAAGTT